AATAGATGGCATCATGAGGAAGGAAAATTATGTGGATATATTGAAGCAACATCTCAATACATCAGTCAGGAAGTTAAAGCTTGGTCGCAAATGGGTCTTCCAAATGGACAATGGCCCCAAGCATACTTCCAAAGTTGTGGCAAAATGGCTTAAGGACAACAAAGTCAAGGTATTGGAGTGGCCATCACAAATCCCTGACCTCAATCCTATAGAAAACATGTGGGCAGAACTGAAAAAGCGTGTGCGAGCAAGGAGGCCTACAAACCTGACTCAGTTACACCAGCTCTGTCAGGAGGAATGGTTCAAAATTCACCCATCTTATTGTGGGAAGCTTGTGGAAGGCTACCCGAAATGTTTGACCCAAGTTAAACCATTTAAAGGCAATGCTACCAAATACTAATTGAGTGTATGTAAACTTCTGACACACTGGGAATGTGATGAAAGAAATAAAAGCTGAAATAAATAATTCTCTCTACTTTTATTCTGACATTTCACATTCTTAAAATAAAGTGGTGATCCTAACTGACCTAAGACAGGAAATGTTTACTATAATTAAATGTCAGGAATTGTGAAAAACTGAGTTGAAATATATTTGGCTAAGGTGTATGTAAACTTCCGACTTCAGCTGTATATGCCATTTGGACTGGAAGCTATTGAAAATGTGATCTGTATGTGAATTAATATCCACAGCTGTAATAGGATAAATATTTCTAAAAAATCAAAGGTGGGGAATTTTGAAAAAATTAAAGTATAAAATCAGGGAAGTGGTGAACTGGAATTCTAACAAAAGTAGTATGGATGATGGGGGTCAGTGACTTTACATTATGTGGTTTTACATCTCCATTTCACCTAGATATGGAGCACCCTTAGTAGTTAGTAACTAATAAAAATATTGGGCCTCTATGCAGTGTGTGTAATCTTCATATTGGGTTAACCCTCCTGAATGGAAATTGCTAAACATATTTATTTTTTGCTTACATGCAATCACCTGTATTGGACTTTTATGACGGTCCCTAAACCACCTAAGTGCCAGAAAAAGCATATTGCCTACTTTCAGGCTCTGTAAAGGGAAGAGCGACTAACGGTAAAAAATATATTTTAAAAAATATCACTCTCATCATCCTAGCACCTTCCGTCTGAGAACTATTGATGAGCGAACTCCGAATGTCGAAAGTCAAAACAAATTTACTCCGGTCATCAACCATGCATAAAGACCTGGCATGAAGGCGTCAATAAACCAGTTGCTATACAGTTATTCAACTATTGTAGAGGGACTGCATTTGAAAACTAGCCGGCTGGCTAAAACTGGCACATTTACAGTAATATTGATTCATGTGCACTGTCCCTGTAAAACGAAAATAAACAAAGTAAAGTAGAGTAGATTGTTGAAGAACGTTTAGCAAATATTACTGCTACGGTATCAAGTTGAATACTCACTTTTACTGCAGTTAAATGATCTGTGAATTGGTGCCTCCTCTTGTGACTATGAGAGCTGAAGCAATGTGCAGCACCATACATTATGAGTTTCGTTTTCCCTGCACATATTGAGTTTCATTTTCGATGCATATAAGTTTCGTTTTCCTGTAACTAGTACGTTCTAGCCAATCAGAAAGTGTTTTAGGCCAAAACCCAATCCAGGGCAGGGATAAATTATGATCAAGTACTCTCCTTGGCCTTGTACCAACAACCATAAAACAAGTGAAAACATTTGTCAGATAGAGAGCATCTGTATACAGAGTCTGTCAGTGCCATACTTCAGCAACAACACAGTGAAAGCATTTTATGCATAATTATTGTATCCAACAACAGGTTGTATACTACGAGTTTATTGAGCCTCTACTTATGTTGTGCTGTCTATAAGACAGCAACGTGGGTGGTAGCAAAGCAATGTTAGAGAGTATTAGGAAGGGTGCTCTTTGGATGAAAGGGTCTTGGCAATAATGAAAACTACTGTACTTTCCAAGGCACTGATATCTGATACTTGATATGAGCACAGATTTGTATAGATTTGTATGGGTGTATGGCTCGGTTTAGGCCATAATCTCTCTCCTCCTGCCGCACCCTTAGCCTCACACAGTTTTTGAGTGCTTATATATCATGCTAAGGTCATATCAAGTTGCACTGCCACATGAAGTTTTTGAGAGCGCGTATAGAAACGCAGGTAGCCTGACGGTCAGAGGCGGCCGGCAACCAGAAGATGGGTTGCCAGTTCGAAACCCGGGTCCGATGGGAAGAATCTGGCGGGAAGTGAGCGGGAGGTTTGCAGGTATCAAATCTTAGATTATGTTGTACCCTTGAGCAAGGCATTTAACCCCCCACAACAACAGCTCCCGGGCGCCCAGTGTGGCAGCCACCCCCGCACCTCTCCAAAACCTGTATGTATCTTTTTTGGAGGGATTGGGTTAACAGTGGAAGTCACATTTTGATTGCACCTTGTGTGTAATTGACCAATAAAGTGATCTTAATCTTAATAACAGACAAGATGTAGTTACACTCTTTATTTTTATTTAACCATTCACCAAACATATTAATCAGACCTGTTTTGCATAAAGAAAACAGTGATAAAACAGACACAACTTTCTGTGTTGCTGACCCCATAAACATGTAAAAGGGTCGTTCCACGAACAGAGTACATTCTGCGGCCCTTTAATCTGCGGCCCGGGTCGCTACTTAATCTGTGGAAACAGACAGGAATGAATTGGGGGATGCTTGAGTTGATTATATAAGCAAGCTTTGTGTGTGTGTGTGTCTGTGTGTCTGTGAGTCTGTGTGTGTGTGTCTGTGCGTGTGTATGCCCACGCATGTGATGCATGTGGATGTTTACCTTGACATTGACCAGTGAAGGCTTGCAGACACAGTATTAACAGGAACAGAATCGTCTGAATCCCTCCTCTTCCTTGTGCCATCTCGACAGCTACAGCGACCAATCAAAAGCATGGAAACAGACAATGGTGTCATTAGCACACAAAATCAGCGGTGCGTTCAGTTTGATTCAACATTTGCTATATTGCGTGGCGGTTTGTACTGAACGGCAGATTTTCCCAAAACGGTGTGCAACATTCTTCAACAGCCTTTGAGGTACGTTTGCTCCTGTTTGGTGGGTGTCGCCTGATCAATATGGGTGTGACCATCTGAAATCGCAAAACTCAGCACACCATATGGTAACTGCCCTCAGGGCCACCGTAATCACAATGTTTTTCAACTGGTCGTTCAGTACAGTACCATTTCCTTTGAATTCAACATTGCATACAGTTCTGTCGTACTGAATGCAACCCATTCCACACTTCTACCAAAGAAGGTTTAGTATAGAGATGCCCAGAAACGGCTTCTCCAATAGAAATCCCTGGTCACGCTTGTAGGCGATGTCATGGTGATTCTAGCTAGCTAAACTCATGCGCAGAAACACGTCATCGGGTCTAACAGTTGTGTTGGGCTGAACTGCGCATGTGCAGGTGTTTTTGATTAAAATGAAAACGTGTCAGTTTGTCACTTTGACGAGGTTGGACTTATAACATGTTCAGCTACTTAAGACATTGGTTCGAATCTAGGTTGTGCCTTTAGAAATCCAAATGAACAACTAAGGACAAATGTTTCACTTCTCTAGTTGACTTCCCAAACCCCAAACTCCGGTCTAGTCTGTCGAGTCTGCTTGCGAGGTGTTCCCAGAAGTATTGGCCTGTTGTGCCTCTGGGTTTGACAACTCTGTGCTTCTATGGTGACTCTTTAGAGAATGTTCTAGCCTACCATTGCCTGTCTGGTCTTTTATCAGACCAGATAGACCTTTTCCTTCACTGTGGTATAATGGTCTGTCAGAGAAATCTGAAACCATTATACTGTATGGACAGAGAAATCTGCAGGTGTGTCCCTCCCCGACAGCTTATTTACTCTGAGGTGTGTTGATCCTAGATTGACCCACTAGAACAAGATGCAGTCAAACTTGAACTGCACCAGTTCTTGAGCAACATTTTGATACTTAGACCCGTTGCTACACTATCCTGACCTGGATCATCTTTGGTTTCTATTCCGTGAAACAAGGTCTCGGGTTCAGGTTAAAGTAAAAAATAATTGGGCTATTCTTCTTTCACTGAGAAACACTATTAAACCAATTGGATGTCAATGCCAACATTTAAGATTGTGATTGTCCAAGAAACAGGACTCTATTATAGGTCTCTGTTGTTTAACATGTGTAGTGAATAGTGAAGCAATTGTTTGATTATTTATGCATAAAGACCTGCCTGGCATGATAGTGTCAATAAAACAGTTGCTACAGTTATTCAAATATTGTATAGGAGATTGTTGTACAAAGTTTAGCACATTTTATTACTAAGGTAGTTAAGTAGAATATTCACTTTCACTGCAGTTAAATGGTCTGTGAATTGGAGCCTCCTCTTGTGATTATGAGAGGTGAAGCAATGTGCAGAAAGATTTGCTAGGAAAACCCCCAATCCAGATTAGATTAGAAAACTTCATTGTACATTAAGTTTACATAGAATGTTACTTACTGTCAATTATATTGAATGTGATTCACTCTACAATGGAATGGATGGTAGCAGAGCAATATTAGAGAGAAATAGAGACAATAGACAATAAAGCTAAATACTATACATTCCAAGGCACTGATATCTGCATTTCTATATACTGTATTTGTATGGATGTACAGATGTAGGATATTAATTTGATCTCTCTTTTGTTGCTGAGAGTTTTCCTGTACAACAGGAAATGCAAACTTGTAGTGTATTTGAGGTTTAAAAAACGTATAAAGTTTGTAATTTCCACTGACATTTCAGACTCGGGTTGCCCTAACGAATGTATCAAACCCTACAAAAATGTAATAAAATAATTTAAATTTCCTGTTGCTGCAGGATTACTGGCTCAAATTTAGATCCTACATCTGTGTGGCTTGGCTCCGGGCACATCTCTCTCGCCACCTGCCTCACCCTTAAAACACAGCAACTTCCTCAGACTGCCATTCTAGTCAGTATTTCACAGATTTCATTAACATGGCTTCCATGGAATCAGCCTTCATCCATTCATCCAAAGCTCCATCCCTTTGCATAGCGAGAGTTAACCACCTTGCCAGGCAGAGCACTGGCACAGACCGTCTGGGGCTGGGCAGGCGTGCGGGAGAGGCACCAACCAGCCAACCCCCCTCTGCCACTCCCTGCCACCCGCCGCCGGCCCAATCCTCTTTACCTGCCTCACAATGCCACTCGGTGTGCCAGCCTTTGTGCCCCGTGCCAGGGATGCCCGTTGGAAAAGCTCTTCTGTTTTGGAGACTGGCGAGAAAGAGACAGACGGGAAGAGGGAGGGGGCTACCCGGAGGTAAGGGCTCTACTGGTGATAAGACACTAGGGCTGTGGCTGTGTACCTGCCGGCTGTGGAAGGGGAGGTAGGGGAGGTAGTCAGTAGCAGAAGGTGTTGCTATCAGAGTGGAACAGAAGCGAGGTGGAGGTTTGATGTTGGACGTGTGAGAGGAGAGGAGGGGACTCCTTGCTGGGTTTCAGCTGGCTACTCATGCGATGCTGAGAGCAACGACATACTGTATCCATCCATCCTCATGCATGAACACACACTCTCTCTCTCTCTCTCTCTCTCTCTCTCTCTCTCTCTCTCTCTCTCTCTCTCTCTTTCTCTCTGTCTGTCTGTCTGTCTGTCTCTCGCTCTCTCTCTCTCACACACACACTCACTATCTCTTTCTCTCTCTCTCTCTCTCTATCTCTCTCAATTCAATTCAATTCAAAGGGCTTTATTGGCATGGGAAACATGTTTAAATTGCTAAAGCAAGTGAAATAGATAATAAACAAAGTGAAATAAACAATATAAAATTAACAGTAAAAATTACACAGAAGTTCCAAAGGAATAGAGACATTTCAAATGTCATGTTATGTCTATATACAGGTTGTAACGATGTGCAAATAGTTAAAGTACAAAAGGGAAAAATAAATATGGGTTGTATTTACAATGGTGTTTGTTCTTCACTGGTTGCCCTTATATAGAGGCAACAGGTCACAAATCTTGCTGCTGTGATGGTACACTGTGGTATTTCACCCAATAGATTTGGAAGTTTATCAAAATTGTAATCTGAAGGAAATATGTGTCTCTAATATGGTCATACATTTGGCAGGAGGTTAGGAAGTGCAGCTCACTTTCCACCTCATTTTGTGGGCATTGTACATATAGCCTGTCTTCTCTTGAGAGCCAGGTCTGCCTACGGCAACCTCTCTCAATAGCAAGGCTATGCTCACTGAGTCTGTACATAGTCAAAGCTTTCCTTAATTTTGGGTCAGTCACAGTGGTCAGGTATTCTGCCACTGAATACTCTCTGTTTAAGGACAAATAGCATTCTAGTTTGCTCTGTTTCTTTGTTAATTCATTCCAATATGTGAAGTAATTATCTTTTAGTTTTCTCATAATTTGGTTGGGTGTAATTGTGTTGCTGTCCTGGGGCTCTGTGGGATCTGTTTGTGTTTGTGAACAGAGCCCCAGGACCAGCTTACATAGGGGACTATTCTCCAGGTTAATCTCTCTGTAGGTGATGGATTTGTTATGGAAGGTTCGGGAATCGCTTCCTTTTAGGTGGTAGTAGAATTTAACGGCTCTTTTCTGGATTTTGATAATTAGCGGGTATCGGCCTAATTCTGCTCTGCATGCATTATTTGGTGTTTTACGTTGTACACAGAGGATATTTTTGCAGAATTCTGCATGCAGTCTCAATTTGGTGTTTGTCCCATTTTGTAAATTATTGGTTGTTGAGCAGACCCCAGACCACACCACCATAAAGGACAATGTGTTTTATAACTGATTAAAGTATTTTTAGCCAGATCCTAACTGGTATGTTGAATTTTATGTTCCTTTTGATGGCATAGAAGGCCCTTCTTGTCTTGTCTCTCAGATCGTTCACAGCTTTGTGGAAGTTACCTGTGGCACTGATGTTTAGGCTGAGGTATGTTTAGGTATGCTCTAGGGCAATGGTGTCTAGATGGAATTTGTATTTGTGGTCCTGGCAACTGGACCTTTTTTGGAACACCATTATTTTTGTCTTACTGAGATTTACTGTCAATGCCCAGGTCTGATAGAATCTGTGCAGATGATCTAGGTGCTGCTGTAGGCCCTCCTTGTTTGGGGACAGAAGCACCAGATCATCAGAAAACAGTAGACATTTGACTTCAGATTCTAGTAGGGTGAGGCCGGGTGCTGCAGAATTTTCTAGTGCCCTCGCCAATTCGTTGATATATATGTTGAAGAGGGTGGGGCTCAAGCTGCATCCCTGTCTCACCACTCTGCCCTGTGGAAAGAAACGTGTGTGTTTTTTGCTCATTTTAACTGCACACGTGTTGTTTGTGTTGGTGGATTTTATAATGTTGTATGTTTTCTCCCCAACACCGCTTTCCATAAATTTGTATAGCAGACCCTCATGCCAAAATGAGTCAAATGCTTTTTTGAAATCAACAAAAGTATGAGAAAACTTTGCCTTTGTTTTGTTTTGTTTGTTTGTCAATAAGGGTGTGCAGGGTGAATACATGGTCTGTCGTACGATAATTTGGTAAAAAGCCAATTTGACATTTGCTCAGTACATTGTTTTCGCTGAGGAAATGTACGAGTCTGCTGTTAATGATAATGCAGAGAATTTTCCCAAGGTTGCTGTTGATGCATATCCCACGGGAGTTATTGGGGTCAAATTTGTCTCCACTTTAATGGATTGGGGTGATCAGTCCTTGGTTCCAAATATTGTTGAAGATGCAAGAGCTGAGGATGATGTTTAAGAGTTTAGGTATAGCCAATTGGAATTTGAATTTGTGGTCTGTATATTTTATCATTTCATTGAGGATACCATCAACACCACAGGCCTTTTTGGGTTGGAGGGTTTGTATTTTGTCCTGTAGTTTATTCAATGTATTTGGAGAATCCGGTGGGTTCTGGTAGTCTTTCACAGTTGATTCTAAGATTTCTATTTGATCATGTGCAGTGGCTTCGGAAAGTATTCAGACCTTGACTTTTCTAAAATTGATTAAATTGTTTTTTTCCCTCAATCAATCTACACACAATACCCCATAATGACAAAGCAAAAACAGGTTTTTAGAAATTGTTGCAAAAAATATATAAAAAATGAAATATCACATTTACATAAGTATTCAGACCGTTTACTCAGTACTTTGTTGAAACACCTTTGGCAGCGATTACAGCCTAGAGTCTTCTTGAGTATGACACTACAAGCTTGGCACACCTTTATTTGGGGAGTTTCTCCCATTCTTCTCTGTAGATCCTTTCAAGCTCTGTCAGGTTGGATGGGGAGCGTTGCTGCACAGCTATTTTCAGGTCTCTCCAGAGATGTTCCACCAGTTCAAGCCCGGGCTCTGGCTGGGCCACTCAAGGACATTCAGAGACTTGTCCCAAAGCCACTCCTGCGTTGTCTTGGCTGTGTGCTTAGGGCCGTTGTCCTGTTGGAAGATGAAACTTCCCCACATGCTTCATCGTAGGGATGGTACCATGTTTCCTCCAGACGTGACGCTTGGCATTCAGTCCAAAGAGTACAATCTTGGTTTCATCAGACTAGAGGATCTTGTTTCTCATGGTCTGAGAGTCTTTAGGTGCCTTTTGGCAAACTCCAAGCGGGCTTTCATGTGTTTTTTATTTGTTATACATTTGCAAAAATAAATAAAAACCTGTTTTCGCTTTGTCATTATGGGGTATTGTGTGTAGATTGCTGAGGATTTGTATTTATTTAATCAATTTTAGATTAAGGCTGTAACGTAACAAAATGTGGAAAAAATCAAGGGGTCTGAATACTTTCTGAAGGCACTGTATATGTTTTTGCTGATTGTTCTTTGTTATTGAGCCAAAAAGATTGGAGAAGTGGCTTATCCATACATCTCCATTTGGATAGATAACTCTTCGTGTTGTTGTTTGTTTAGTGTTATTCCAATTTTCCCAGAAGTAGTTAGATTCTATGGATTCTTCAATTACATTGAGCTGATTTCTGACGTGCTGTTACTTCTTTTTCCGTAGTGTATGTCTGTATTGTTTTAGTGATTCACCATAGTGAAAGCGTAGGCTCAGGTTTTCTGGATCTCTATGTTTTTGGTTGGATAGGTTTCCTTTTGAATTTCTCTCTCGCGCTCTGTCTCTCTCTCTCTCTCACACAAACATATACACACTCTTTCTCTCTCTGTCTGTCTCTCACTCACTCACTCACTCACTCACTCACTCACTCACTCACTCACTCACTCACTCACTCACTCACTCACTCACTCACTCACTCACTCACTCACTCACTCACTCACTCACTCACTCACTCACTCACTCACTCACTCACTCACACACACACACACACACACACACACACACACACACACACACACACACACACACACACACACACACACACACACACACACACACACACACACACACACTGACTCTACAATGCCGTGGCTGTAGTTGTTCATGACTGCTAACAATTGTTGGTTTCCACAAGACAAAATGAAAATGAACCCCCTGAACTGCATTGTTTCATTTCATTTCCAGTGTTTCAACACTGATGTTCACCGTGGAAAGCTGTGGGAAGCTGGCTCATTGATATCTAAATATTTCCTTCACAGCCCTCACAGGGCTAGTCTGTTTCTGAGCATAAATGGGTGTGTTTGTTTGCCTGCACATTTATGTACTGTATGATCTAAATTGTGTGTGTGTGTGTGGTGTGTGTGTGTGTGTGTGCGTGCGTGTGTGTTTTTGAAAGTGTGTATATTATATTGTGCAGGGATGCATTCAGGGGTGCGCTCGTGTGCATATTTGTGTGTACAGCATGACTGTGTATGCCATGCATCGGTGGGTTTGTGTCTGTCTGGACAGAACCTAAACTTCCTCTCTCTCTCTCGCTCTCTCAATTTTTTCTAGGACTTATCCTCCAGGCCTGTCGTCTCTTCCCGGCTGGGGAGTCTTCTAGAAGGGGGCCCCTCTTGACCACCATGAAAGGGTTAGGAGCCAAACGCAACCGCCACCTGTCTGACTCCTGCGATCCCACCCAGGGCCCCCCGGAGCCCCTGTACCCACACCAGGCTTCCACCCTGCCTCGGAGCCCCTACCTCCTCAGCCCCACCAGCATGGACCACTACGGCACCATGGACCCCCGCCACTACAACCCCAGTATGGACGCCCAAAACAACCAGGGATCCCTGCCCCCGGACTACTCCCTCCCCCTCAACAACCAGCTGTCCAACAGCAGCACCTTCCCCCACGTCCACTACAACTCCCATTACGACCCCAGCGACTTCTCCCCGCCACAGGAGGACAGCATCGGGGGCATAAGTACAGGAACCTTGGGCACCTCCATGTCGATGGGGATGGGGATGGGAATGCATGGCATGAGCGGTATGGGGGGCCTGCAGAGCAGCCGGGGGGCCATGATCACCAGTGGTTCGGCTACTATCTCCGGTGGGGCCAAGATGAACCGGCAGGTGCAGCCCAACCTGCTGGACCAGTTGGAGAAGCAACTGCCTGGGGGGCCTCGTGACGGCTTCAGCACGCTACAGCTCCATCGGAGCACATCGGCCGCCCTCTCCGTCGCCTCCAAGCAGCGCACCGACAGTCCCGGGCGCATCCGTAACCTGGTGTGCTCTGTCCAGAAGCTCTTCGCCAAGTCACAGTCCATGGATGGCCACAACATCAAGGGCGTCAACGGGCGTTCGGGGACGGGTAGCGGTAGCGGCGGGACCTCGTCCGGGACCGAGGACGGCGGGAAGCGGGACCGGCGAGCAAAGAGCAAAGACCGGGGCGGAGCCAAGTCAGACGGGGGCGGGACGGGCAAGCGGCGGCCGCGCTCCAACATGTCAGGCTACTGGAGCTCGGACGACCTGGACAACGCCGACCTCAGCAACTACCGCAACCCCATGGCCATGACGCTGGGACGCCCCACCACCCATGCCACCCAGCACGCCACCCACAGTACTACCTACGATGCCCAGCAGGGGGCACTACAGCAGCAGCAGGGACAGCAGAGCCGCTACGTGGTCCACAGCGGCTACAACACCATTAGCTCGTCTAAGAGCAGCAATGAAGTCATGAAGTACCAGCAGACGCTGCCGGGGCCCGGAGGTGGGGGAGGAGGGATCAGCATGGGAGTGAACAGTAATGACTTTAAGAAGGGAGGTTCGTGGTCGACGCTGACCCTGGGTCAGCCCACACAGGTGCTGCAGAAGGGCCACTCGTCTACCCTGGACCGGTCCATGCTCAAGTCTAAGTCGTGCCAGCAGGAGTTTGCCTGCCACTACCTGCAAGTGGGACGACGGGTGAGTATTATCTAACAAATGTCTGTTGTCAAAAGGATATCATCATATCGAATGATGTGCTGGACATAAAGAACATGTGGAGACATAGTGCATACTTAAATACAAATGTATTTACTTTCAAGACAGTTTGTCAGGTCTGACAAAGATCTGTTTGGATCTAAACATAAAACATGTAGTCTTGTCACTACAATAAAAGTCCTATATGTGTTGGACCATTTCAGTGTCAGGTTGACTATTCCTCTACTATGTCTCAGCTGTCTCGTCTTTCAGTTTGTTCAGTTTATTTAACTAAAATATAGCAATGTCTACCCCTTGGGTATCATTTCTGCAATTTTTTTATTTTATCAGCCTGACTTTATGTGCTAACATTTATGGCATACCACTGTAAATGGCACACACCATGTGACATTAACATGCTGTTATATAAATGTCAGCTCCAAGTCTACCTATAGAATTGATTTGATACTAATTGTTTTGACTTTGTTTTCAAGTTTCAAAGTCAAGATATTGCGGAAGGAGTTGGTAACGGCCCTGTAGCACTCTAATGATTTTATTTATTTTTTGTGTAATCGATAACACCATACCTATGGTCAAGAAAAGTAGAGTGGGGGTCCCTCAGGGATACATTTCGGGTCCTCTTTAGCCTATACTGTAGATACTGTAGATTATAGAGTGAATACTGTAAAACAAATGATATTATGTAAACATTTTTATTATACTGTCACAATCATGTCAATATAAATGGCATAAGGGTATAATGCCATATAGAAAAATGTACAGTACCAGTCAAAAGTTTGGACACACCTACTCATTCAAGGGTTTTTCTTTATTTTTACTATTTTCTACATTGTAGAATAATATTCAAAACTATGAAGTAACACATATGGAATCATGTAGTAACCTACATTTTCCGGATTGACTGACCTTCATGTCTTAAAGTAATGATGGACTGTCGTTTGTCTTTGCTTATTTGAGCTGTTCTTGCCATAATATGGACCTGGTCTTTTACCAAATAGGGCTATCTTCTGTATACCCCCTACCTTGTCACAACACAACTGATTGGCTCAAACTCATTAAGAAGGAAAGAAATTCCACAAATTAACTTTTAACAAGGCACATCTGTTAATTGAATTGCATTCCAGGTGACTACCTCATGAAGCTGGTTGAGAGAATGCCAAGAGTGTGCAAAGCTGTCATCAAGGCAAAGGGTGGCTACTTTGAATCTAAAATCTAAAATATATTTGATTTGTTTAACACTTTTTTGGTTACTACATGATTCCATATGTGTTATTTCATAGTTTTTATATCTTCACTATTATTCTACAATGTAGAAAATAGTACAAATTAAGAAAAACCCTTGAATGAGTAGGTGTATCCAAACTTTTGACTGGTACTGTATCTGGGTTGCTGCTGCTTGTAGGGGGACTGGAGTAGCACGCTGGGCCGCAGCGGCGGGGGAGGAGGAGCCAATGAGATCCCATGTCGGCGCATGCGGAGCGGCAGCTACGTGAAGGCCATGGGCGACCTAGAGGACAGTGACGACTCGGACGGCAGCCCCAAGCCCTCGCCCAAAATGGCTGCCCGCCGTCAGAGCTACCTCAGGGCCACCCAGCAGTCTCTGAGCGACCAGCTACCGCCACGCAAGTAAGCTCAGTACCAAAGTTTCATCACATGGATAATGGACATGTGAGCATAATGACACACAGTGCATTCGGAAAGTATTCAGACCCCTTGACTTTTTCCACATTTTGTTATGTTACAGACTTATTCTAAAATGGATTAAATTAAACATTTTCCTCATCAATCTACACACAATACCCCATAATGACAAAGCGAAAACAGGTTTTTAGAAATGTTTGCAAATTTAACAGAAATAGAAATACCTTATTTATATAAGGTAAGTATTCAGGAGGTGTGACATGTAGAAAGGAGTCCACCTGTGATAAATTCAATTGATTGGACATTATTTGGAAAGGCACACACCTGTTTAAATAAGGTCCCACAGTTGACAGTGCATGTCAGAGCAAAAACCAAGCCATGAGGTCGAAGGAATTGTCCGTAGAGCTCCGAGACAGGATTGTTTCTAGGCACAGATCTGCAGCATTGAAGGTCCCCAAGAACACAGTGGCCTTCATCATTCTTAAATGGAAGAAGTTTGGAACCACTAAGACTCTTCCTAGAGCTTGCAGCCCGGCCAAACTGAGCAATCGTGGAAGAAGTGCCTTGGTCAGGGAGGTGACCAAGAACCCAATTGTCACTATGACAGAGCTCCAGAGTTCCTCTGTGGAGATGGGAGAACCTTCCAGAAGGCCAACCATCTCTGCAGCACTCCACCAATCAGGCCTTTATGATAGAGTGGCCAGAAGGAAGCCACTCCTCAGTAAAAGGCACATGACAGCCTGCTTGGAGTTTGCCAAAAGGCACCTAAAGGACTCGCAGACCATGAGAAACAAGATTCTCTGGTCTGATGAAACCAAGATTGAACTCTTTGGCCTGAATGCCAAGCATCACGTCTGGAGGAAATCTGGCACCATCCCAATGAAGCATGGTGGTGGCAGCATCATGCTGTGGGGAGGTTTGTCAGCGGCAGGGACTGGGAGACTAGTCAGGATCGAGGGAAAGATGAACAGAGCAAAGTAAAGAGATCCTTGATGAAAACCTGCTCCAGAGCGCTCAGGACCTCAGACTGGGGTGAAGGTTCACCTTCCAACAGGACGACGACCCTAAGTACACAGCAAAGACAATGCAGGAGTAGCTTCGGGACAAGTCTCTTAATGTCATTGAGTGGCCCAGCCAGAGCCCGGACTTGAACCCGATCGAACATCTCTGGAGAGACCTGAAAATAGCTGTGCAGCGACGCTCCCCATCTAACCTGACAGCGCTTGAGAGGATCTGCAGAGAAGAATGGGAGAAACTCCCCAAATACAGGTGCGCCAAGCTTGTAGCGTCATGCCCAAGAAGACTTGAGGCTGTAATCACTGCCAAAGGTGCTTCAAAAAAGTACTTAGTAAAGGGTCTGAATACTTATGTAAATGAAATATTTCCGTTTTTTATTTTTAATACATTTGCAAAAATCTCTAAAAACCTGTTTTCGCTTTGTCATAAAAAAATATCCATTATAGAATAAGGCTGTAACGTAACAAAATGTGGAAAAAGTCATGGGGTCTGAAAACTTTCTGAATGCACTGTATGACATGGTAACACATTCAGGTGGAAGTGAACCTAGACTATAACAATAATAATTTCACACACACACAAATCCTCGTGCCCACTCTCTCTTTCTCTCTCACATCCACACAAGCACACATGTACAGTGGGGGAAAAAAGTATTTAGTCAGCCACCAATTGTGCAAGTTCTCCCACTTAAAAAGATGAGAGAGGCCTGTAATTTTCATCATAGGTACACGTCAACTATGACAGACAAAATGAGAAGAAAAAATTATCCAGAAAATCACATTGTAGGATTTTTAATGAATTTATTTGCAAATTATGGTGGAAAATAAGTATTTGGTCAATAACAAAAAAAATGCAATGCTTTGTTATATACCCTTTGTTGGCAATGACACAGGTCAAACGTTTTCTGTAAGTCTTCACAAGGTTTTCACACACTGTTGCTGGTATTTTGGCCCATTCCTCCATGCAGATCTCCTCTAGAGCAGTGATGTTTTGGGGCTGTCGCTGGGCAACACAGACTTTCAACTCCCTCCAAAGATTTTCTATGGGGTTGAGATCTGGAGACTGGCTAGGCCACTCCAGGACCTTGAAATGCTTCTTACGAAGCCACTCCTTCGTTGCCCGGGCGGTGTGTTTGGGATCATTGTCATGCTGAAAGACCCAGCCACGTTTCATCTTCAATGCCCTTGCTGATGGAAGGAGGTTTTCACTCAAAATCTCACGATACATGGCCCCATTCATTCTTTTCTTTACACGGATCAGTCGTCCTGGTCCCTTTGCAGAAAAACAGCCCCAAAGCATGATGTTTCCACCCCCATGCTTCACAGTAGGTATGGTGTTCTTTGGATGCAACTCAGCATTCTTTGTCCTCCAAACACGACGAGTTGAGGTTTTACCAAAAAGTTCTATTTTGGTTTCATCTGACCATATGACATTCTCCCAATCCTCTTCTGGATCATCCAAATGCACTCTAGCAAACTTCAGACGGGCCTGGACATGTACTGGCTTAAGCAGGGGGACACGACTGGCACTGCAGGATTTGAGTCCCTGGCGGCGTAGTGTGTTACTGATGGTAGGCTTTGTTACTTTGGTCCCAGCTCTCTGCAGGTCATTCACTAGGTCCCCCCATGTGGTTCTGGTATTTTTGCTCACCGTTCTTGTGATCATTTTGACCCCACGGGGTGAGATCTTGCGTGGAGCCCCAGATCAAGGGAGATTATCAGTGGTCTTGTATGTCTTCCATTTCCTAATAATTGCTCCCACAGTTGATTTCTTCAAACCAAGCTGCTTACCTATTGCATTGTATGTCTTCCCAGCCTGGTGCAGGTCTACAATTTTGTTTCTGGTGTCCTTTGACAGCTCTTTGGTCTTGGCCATAGTGGAGTTTGGAGTGTGACTGTTTGAGGTTGTGGACAGGTGTCTTTTATACTGATAACAAGTTCAAACAGGTGCCATTAATACAGGTAAGGAGTGGAGGACAGAGGAGCCTCTTAAAGAAGAAGTTACAGGTCCACCATAATTTGCAAATAAATTCATTAAAAATCCTACAATGTGATTTTCTGGAGAAAAAAAATCTCAATTTGTCTGTCATAGTTGACGTGTACCTATGATGAAAATTACAGGCCTCTCTCATCTTTTTAAGTGGGAGAACTTGCACAATTGGTGGCTGACTATAAACTTTTTTTCCCCACTGTACACACGTACACACACAGACACACCACACACACACACACACACACACACACACAGCCCATGGCACCATTTTAAACGGAGGTGTGACATGTAGAAAGGAGACCATCAGGCTTCCAGCTCTTGGCATGCCTGTTAACAGGCCTTGCATACTAAAGAGGCTAAAGCAAACACACACAGTCAGACAAGCTGTGCTCACTCAAGCCTGGGATTAAGCACCGTCAGACTCCCACCTCCTACACATGCCAGAGCTCCGATTACGGTTTCCTCATCGTTCATTTACTAACGGCTTGGCCTGAAATGATAGAGTCCTCATACCGTAACGTTTCCGCAACATCACAAACACGATGCTATCTTCAGCTTCTGCTCAGACAGACAGTGAGTCACCACAAACTAAGCTATAGTCTCATCATCTCCCACTGACTGACTGACTATGGTTTCTAGCACATTGTCTCTAGATTACATGCTTTCTGAAGCAGACAGACACAGACTGGGCTGGACACAGTGCATTGGGTATCCTGTTCATTTTCACATAATGACAAACAAAATGAAACCCCATTTGGATGAATAGTGGCAGAGAGTGGGAGCACCAATGAGCAAGTTGCTGTGTTTTATTGTTTATGTCTCCGTTGATTTGCTGAAACAAAGACCTTTGTTGTGTTCTCTGGGTTCTCTGTGGTCAGGGCTGTATTGAAGTAAATGTGTGCCAATGCGATCTTAAACCTAATTTGGCACAAATGTAATTCCATTGGGGAGTTTAGAGTGGCTGGCTATTATTTGGTTCAGATTGCCACCACAAATTGAGGAAATCAAAAGGCAAAAGGAATACAGTACAATTTCATTCCACAAGAGGGCAGCAGATCAAGAAGCAATAAGTATTTATGCCTGGTAATATCACTTCATACATTAAAATAAAAAAACTAATTGTTTTGGTCACAGACACATAGAAAAAGGGAATATATGACTTACGTCATTATAGAAGCAGATTATTGTTGATAGAGACAACACACACACACCATGATAACGTAGCAGGAAGGTTTTCTTAAAGAAGTAAAAACATGGAGTAGAAAACACAAATTAATTTCAAACCTGCATGCTAAATGACTCTTATCCTGCTCCCCCCTGCCAAAACCCAAATGCCACACCCCTGTTCTCCCTCGTGGTCTGCTCCACCCTGGTTGGCAGGAGCAGCAGAGCCCTGGATTACGCCATGCTGCAGGGGGAGCTGGAGGCACTGTGGTCTCCTCTGCACAGTGTGTCCTCTCTGCACCAACTGGGAAGGTCAGTGCTATGCAGCCAGCCAATCACCACCAAGGGGGCAGGTTTATGCTTGCACCAGATTGGACGCGGTCCCCAATCAATCAGTCAGTCACCCCGCCCCCCAGGTCTTGCCCACCTCTTTGGTTCACCCATGCTCCGTCAGTGCCAACGCCATGCCACTCACCACCAGCCCTTTCCTCCAAGCTAATTCGCTCACCCCAAAAAAGGAGTTCCATTGCCCAGCTTGGCACCTTCCATGCCAGGGGTACCCCATCTTTACCCAAGGATCATCACAATCACATGACAAATGCAATGTCATGTCACTATCACTGTGTGCCAGCAAAGACCAAAATATGATATGCTCTCTTTTGGTAATCCAGTTCAGTATTTCTGAGCTGAATTTGGACAATTTTCCCTAATGCTCTTTGATATTGGCACCATGATGCGTGGAACAAGGCTTTACATATGCTTGACCTGTGTATCATTGGCTTTGCATTGTTTGGGTGCTATATGGGGAATATTATTGTAATGAGATGAAATGGGAGATATATTATTCACAGGTGTTATGATGGGGGAAGTGATGCTGACAGATGTTATGATGGGGCAGTGATGCTGACAGGTGTTATGATGGGGGCAGTGCAGCTGACAGATGTTATGATGGGGGCAGTGATGCTGACAGGCAATGTTCCCTCTAAACTGCACGCGATTTTGGCCGTGCAGCTCCTCCAGGACTGCCACGCAGAAGAAATGCCATGCCACGCAGAGATGCACGAGATTGAACTTCACTGAGTTCGCCTCATTAGTTTGAACTACAGTTGAAGTCGGAAGTTTACATACACCTTAGCCAAATACATTTAAACTCAGTTTTTCACAATTCCTGACATTTAATCTTAGTAGAAATTCCCTGTCTTAGGTCAGTTTACATACACTCAATTAGTATTTGTTAGCATTGCCTTTAAATTGTTTAACTTGTGTCAAAAGTTTCGGGTAGCCTTCCACAAGCTTCCCACAATAAATTGGGTGAATTTTGGCCCATTCCTCCTGACAGAGCTGGTATAACTGAGTCAGGTTTGTAGGCCTCCTTGCTCGCACACGCTTTTTCAGTTCTGCCCACAAACGTTCTATAGGATTGAGGTTAGGGCTATGTGATGGCCACTCCAATACCTTGACTTTGTTGTCCTTCAGCCATTTTGCCACAACTTTGGAAGTATGCTTGGGGTCATTGTCCATTCGGAAGACCCATTTGCGACTAAGCTTTAACTTCCTGACTGATGTCTTGAGATGTTGCTTCAATATATCCACATAATTTTCCTTCCTCATGATGCCATCTATTTTGTGAAGTACACCAGTCCCTCCTGCAGCAAAGCACCCCCACAGCATGATGCTGCCACCCCCGTGCTTCACGGTTGGGATGGTGTTCTTCGGCTTGCAAGCAACCCCATTTTTCCTCCAAACATAACGATGGTCATTATGGCCAAACAGTTCTATTTTTGTTTAATCAGACCAGAGGACATTTCTCCAAAAAGTACGATCTTTGTCCCCATGTGCAGTTGCAAACCGTAGTCTCGCTTTTTTATGGCGGTTTTGGAGCAGTGGCTTCTTCCTTGCTGAGCGGCCTTTCAGGTTATGTCCATATAGGACTTGTTTTACTGTGGATATAGATACTTCTGTACCTGTTTCCTCCAGCATCTTCACAAGGTCCTTTGCTGTTTTTCTGGGATTGATTTGCACTTTTTGCACCAAAGTACGTTCATCTCTAGGAGACAGAACGTGTCTCCTTCCTGAGCGGTATGACGGCTGTGTGGTCCCATGGTGTTTATACTTGTGTACTATTGTTTGTACAGATGAACGTGGTACCTTCAGGCGTTTGGAAATTGCTCCCAAGGATGAACCAGACTTGAGGAGGTCTACATTTTTCTTTCTGAGATCTTGGCTAATTTCTTTTGATTTTCCCATGATGTCAAGCAAAGAGGCACTGAGTTTGAAGGTAGGCCTTGAAATACATCCACAGGTACACCTCCAATTGACTCAAATGATGTCAATTAGCCTATCAGAAGCTTCTAAAGCCATGACATAATTTTCTGGAATTTTCCAAGCTGTTTAAAGGCAGTCAACTTAGTGGATGTAAACTTCTGGAATTGTGATACAGTGAATTATAAGTGAAATAATCTATCTGTAAACAATTGTTGGAAAAATTACTTGTGTCATGCACAAAGTAGATGTCCTAACCGACTTGCCAAAACGATAGTTTGTTAACAAGACATTTGTGGAGTGGTTGAAAAACGAGTTTTAATGACTCCAACCTAAGTGTATGTAAACTTCCGACTTCAACCGTATATAGATCAATGTTTTTTCTGTGATCGAATCAACATTATATCAGCCCCTTTTCAATGCAACAAAACAAAACAAATCTAACTTTGCAAGATTGAGTCTGTGATTTTGTTGTAGGCAAAGCCAGAGCACAACGGAGTAGAATTCTATTGGCGGGGGTAGCCCACAAGCAGTCTTTTAATCACCCGCGAGTGAATGCGCTTTTCAGATCAGAGCGCAGAGCCGTGCGTGTGTACATTTGTTGATATTCTTTGCTAGTTAGCGAGTTATTAGCCCAGTTTTAAATAAGTATAGGTCAGCAATGGGGAGTTACTGCTTCCTACAAGAGCACAAAACGTGTAGGCTACATTTCAAGCGCTATTTGAAAAAACAGTCTAGTAAAAAGCTTGTCTTAATTAAAGGGGCAGTGTTGTACTTTGAGACAGGCTTGAATATGCAAATATGCCAATAGGCAGAGGGGTAGCCTACATTGTCTAATTCTCTGTATGGTAATAATAATTAATTGTATTTTGTAAAGTGATTTCTTGCATCATACAACACAATACAATGCAATTTACAGTCACCTATTTTGCCCATGGTGTTACAGACCAAGTAAAAAATAATAAATTAATGTCAAGCCCTTCATAATGTAAAAACATTTTTAAACATCTCATGCAATGTAGGCCTGCATTGAACACCACATATAGGCTACTGTAGACTATATCATAGAAATAAAAAGCTATTTCCATGTGTAAATGTTATGGGATTTGCTCCATTGGTTTTGTTGGTAGGCCTACATTATGCTCAAATAGCCACAATAGCCTATTGGCTACTGTCTAAAACTGTAAGGGTACAGCCTCAGTGTTCACTGTAAATTCTCACAACATTCAAGTTTCCGCTCACAAAACCTAAAAATTAGCTCAGTGCCCCAAAGAATTAGAGGGAACATTGCTGACAGGTGATATGATGGGGGCAGTGATGCTGACAGGTAATGAAAGGAACCAGGGATGAGAAGTGACCTAACCTGAATTTCTTTCTTTCACCTCTTATCTGCCCCTCCCCTCCTCTCTTCTCTACCTTTCTCAATTCCTCTTTCCTCTTCTCTCCCTCCTCTCCTCTTCTTTTCTCTGCTGCTTTCCTCCTCCCCTTTCGTCTGATCTTATCTCCTTCTCTCCTCACATCAACTCTACCCTCCTCCTCTCCTTACATAAACTCTACCCTCCTCCTCTCCTCACATAAACTCTACCCTCCTCCTCTCCTCACATCAACTCTACCCTCCTCCTCTCCTCACATCAACTCTACCCTCCTCCTCTCCTCTCCTTCTCTCCTCTCCTCACATCAACTCTACCCTCCTCCTCTCCTCTCCCTCCCCTCCTTCTCTCCTCACATCAACTCTACCCTCCTCCTCTCCTCTCCCTCCCCTCCTTCTCTCCTCACATCAACTCTACACTCCTTCTCTCCTTTCCTCTCTCTCCTCCCCTTCTCTCTGATCTCATCCCCTCTCACATCAACTCTCCTCCCCTCTTCTTCTCTCCTCCCAACCTCTCCTCCCCCTCTCCTCTCTTCCCCTGTTCCTCCTCCTCTCCTCTTCAGCTGTCTTCCTTCACTGCAAGAGCTGTCTACCAATCGTAGCCTGGACAACCTGGACTGTCTGGGGGGTCCGGTGAGGGGCTCCCTGTTCCCCCGCTGGGACGATGAGGACTTCAACCAGGGAGGCGGCTGCAGCACCCTGGGGAGGAGCAGCTGCATGGGCCAGGTCAGAGGTCACCAGGGATGGGGTCGTGGGGTACAACTGGCATGGGACTCATTTTTGTGTCGGAATAGTGAGACTGTACATAAAGAGGGAGATAGATGTAGACAGGCACAGAGAGGAGAGTGACTGAGACAAGGCTCAAACCCTGTTGCCAAATGACATGAGTCATCCTGAGTTGGGAGCATTACCACTACACCAGACTGTGGCATTTTAGACCATTTCATTGAACAGATTTTTATTTTTAGAGTGACCTATCACATAAACTCTCCACTCCTACACCTCAGTAGACTCTGTTCTAATGAGGTAGAAGAGTATGTATACACCGGAATCCCAACACAGGAAGACCCATTACCCTTCTACTGACAAGGTCACCATGGTGATAAAGAGTGCCTGGATCCTCTCTGATCTTTTACAAAAGGCCTGTCAACCTAAGCTTTACAGTCCATTAGTATATGTTTAGCATTTTGACCCCATCTTGGGGAATTTAAAACGTTTTATTCCGAAAATGTGTGTTGATTTACATGTAAATTAGTAGAAGAGTTATTTAGAGCTGCAAGATACAATGTTTATTATTACAACTCATTATTTCAGAAAGCCTTCCTGTGAGATTTTACTGTATATCAAACAAAAACAGTACAACAATGCAATTGAATAGACACATAGTGCTGTTATAAATATCCAGTACTATAGGACTTCTGGAGCACAAACAGGTCTGGGACCAGGTTATAGATCTCAGGCTCTCACTTTCTCTCTCTCGTTCTCTCTTTCTCTCTCTTAGTCTTTTGCTCGCTCTCTCTCTGTCACTACTCCCTGCTCTTTGATTTGTTACCCCTAAAGCATGCAACCGAGCCAACTCCATAAGTGACAACTCAAACACCATATTTATTACATCCCTGTCACTCCAACACTGTGTTAGGCTTGCATCTTAGTAAGCTTGGTCATGTCCCTCAGTCAAATCTCAGTCCTTCATTTGCACTGCTGCTCTAATCTAATTTCTCACCAATTTTATGCAAGTCAATCAAATGACTACTGTTTATTTTTATTTTATTTTTTATTTCACCTTTATTTAACCAGGTAAGCCAGTTGAGAACAAGTTCTCATTTACAACTGCGACCTGGCCAAGATAAAGCAAAGCAGTGCGATAAAAACAACACAGAGTTACATATGGGGTAAAAAACATAAAGTCAAAAATACAACAGAAAATATATATAAAGTGTGTGCAAATGTAGCAAGTTATGGAGGTAAGGCAATAAATAGGCTATAGTGCAAAATAATTACAATAGTATTAACACTGGAATGCTAGATGTGCAAGAGATTATGTGCAAATAGAGATACTGGGGTGCAAAAGAGCAAAATAAATAACAATATAGGGATGAGGTAGTTGGGTGGGCTAATTTCAGATGGGCTGTGTACAGGTGCAGTGATCGGTAAGGTGCTCTGACAACTGATGCTTAAAGTTAGTGAGGGAGATAAGAGTCTCCAGCTTCAGAGATTTTTGCAATTCGTTCCAGTCATTGGCAGCAGAGAACTGGAAGGAATGGCGGCCAAAGGAGGTGTTGGCTTTGGGAATGACCAGTGAGATATACCTGCTGGAGCGCAGACTACGGGTGGGTGCTGCTATGGTGACCAATGAGCTAAGATAAGGCGGGGATTTGCCTAGCAGTGATTTATAGATGGCCTGGAGCCAGTGGGTTTGACGACGAACATGTAGTGAGGACCAGCCAACAAGAGCGTACAGGTCACAGTGGTGGGTAGCGTATGGGGCTTTGGAGACAAAACGGATGGCACTGTGATAGACTACATCCAATTTGCTGAGTAGAGTGTTGGAGGCTATTTTGTAAATGACATCGCCGAAGTCAAGGATCGGTAGGATAGTCAGTTTTACGAGGGCATGTTTGGCAGCATGAGTGAAAGAGGCTTTGTTGCGAAATAGGAAGCCGATTCTAGATTTAACTTTGGATTGGAGATTCTTTATGTGAGTCTGGAAGGAGAGTTTACAGTCTAACCAGACACCTAGGTATTTGTAGTTGTCCACATACTCTAGGTCAGACCCGTCAAGAGTGGTGATTCTAGTCGGGTGGGCGGGTGCCAGCAGCGTTCGATTGAAAAGCATGCATTTAGTTTTACTAGTGTTTAAGAGCAGTTGGAGGCTACTGAAGGAGTGTTGTATGGCATTGAAGCTCGTTTGGAGGTTTGTTAACACAGTGTCCAATGAAGGGCCAGATGTATACAAAATGGTGTCGTCTGCGTAGAGGTGGATCTGAGAGTCACCAGCAGCAAGAGCGACATCATTGATATACACGGAGAAAAGTGTCGGCCCAAGAATTGAACCCTGTGGCACCCCCATAGAGACTGCCATAGGTCCAGACAACAGGCCCTCCGATTTGACACACTGAACTCTATCTGAGAAGTAGTTGGTGAACCAGGCGAGGCAGTCATTTGAGAAACCAAGGCTATTTAGTCTGCCAATAAGAATGCGGTGGTTGACAGAGTCGAAAGTCTTGGCCAGGTCGATGAAGACGGCTGCACAGTACTGTCTATTATCAATCGCGGTTATAATATCGTTTAGGACCTTGAGCGTGGCTGAAGTGCACCCATGACCAGCTCGGAAACCGGATTGCATAGCGGAGAAGGTACGGTGGTATTCGAAATGGTCGGTGATCTGTTTGTTAACTTGGCTTTCAAATACTTTCGAAAGGCAGGGCAGGATGGATATAGGTCTGTAGCAGTTTGGATCTAGAGTGTCACCCCCTTTGAAGAGGGGGATGACCGCGGCAGCTTTCCAATCTCTGGGGATCTCAGACGTTATGAAAGAGAGGTTGAACAGACTAGTAATAGGGGTTGCGACAATTTCGGCAGCTAGTTTTAGAAAGAAAGGGTCCAGATTGTCTAGCTCAGCTGATTTGTAGGGGTCCAGATTTTGCAGCTCTTTCAAAACGTCTGCGAAGAGAAGTTAAGACAGTTTTGATTAATACTATGAAAGTGACACTGAAACTAATTGGCAGTAAAAAGAACAATAAAAAAAAAACATTTAGCTTGTTAACTACCTTGGACTTTGACTATAAGTTGCTATAAGGAGCTGATTCGGGATCAGGACAAAGTGTTACTGCTGCACTTTGCTTTCCTCTCACCCAGCCTTAATACTGTAATGTGTCCTTTTGGCTGCATTTTATTGCATACCCACCAAATGTCACACAGGTGGAGCTAGCTCACTCCTCTAACAGATACTGTCAGCTGTGCTCTCCATGGCAGACCTGGCTGGGTTCAAATAGTATTAGAAATGTGAAAAACTCAGGGTGTTTGCTTCATACTGCCTGAAGTACCTGATGGGTGGGGTTGGCACATTTGGGACTATTCCGTTGGTTCCAATACGCTAGGTAAACTTGATTAAGCACAGTTAAAGTATTCGGGAAAAATCTAAAATACTACTTGAACCCAGGTCTAACGACCATGGACTATCTGGTCCCGGGACAAACCATGCATTTCTGTCCCTAGCTTGAAGCAGTAGCCATGCAACGCTGTCCCTCTCACTCTACCACTGCCACCCAGGCCAAGATGCCAACCAATGCCACTAGTGCCAACCTGCCTCTCTCCTTCCAGCTGCGGGACCTGGAGATGATTAGCCAACGCTACGAGGATAGCTGCTCTGAGTCGGCGTTCCGAGAATCCCACAGACTCTCGCGCTCCCATTCCCAGGCGGTGGAGCCTCCGGATCTACCAATGCCCACGTGCTTCCGATCCCGTAGCCATAGCTACCTGCGGGCCATCCAGGCCGGATGTTCACAGGATGACGACACTGCTTCCATGGACTCGGATTCGCCGCCGCCGACCGCCACTACCGTTCGCACCTATAGCACCAGCACTGGTGAGTAGGCTTACCTACTGATGCTGATCTAAGGTCAGTTTTGCACTTTAACCTGCTAATGGTTGAGCTTTGCATTAGGGAGCTGGGTATTAGGTTAAGCTGATTCTAGATCTGTGCCAATGGGACAATTTAGCTGGATTTTTATTGTTCTTGCATTGCCGACAATGAACCCGCAAGTAAGCATTTCGTTGGACGATGTGGCGTATACCATGTGTGTCCCGTACATTAATATAATTTAAAACTTGAAGAGAGTGAAAGAGCCTGTTTTGGATTATGCAACGTACCCTACCATGTCGCTGATGAAATTATATTCCTGAATTAAGTTTTGTGTTATTGGTTTGTGGCTGCAAACTGTAATGCCGTGTGAAGATGTGAAAAGTGGTGTTAAGAGAATTGTGAAAAGTGATGTAATCTTATGGGTCGAGATTGACAGAGATTGACCTGGTTATTGGTTATGTTTGTGTATATAATTATACATGTGAGCTCTCCCTCTCTCTCTGTTTGAATGAGGTTTAACCAATAGAACTCTACATTAATCATTTCTTCTTGGCTAGCGGCGCTGTTGACCGTTTTCGCCACGCCACTTGACCCGGTTTAAAGATACCGTTTCCTGGACAAAAGCTTGCTGCTACTATTTATCGTCTTTGACAGATACTGTTTCGACTTTGGCTGTTTGGAAGTCAACAGCTCCTGCAATGTTGTCTTGATTTTAAAAAAAATCTTTTTTCTTCTGACAGGCTACGAGGGTAAGTGTTTGGTGCCAATAATGTGACTTTTATGGAAATATCTATCCATCTATCCGAATCGGTTCTCATTGTAAATCCTGAACAGTTTTGCAATCTATATTGTTCGAGAATGTGACGCAAGGGATAGGCTACTGTATGGATGCATTACTGTAGCCGCTGCTATTTGATTTTGAAAGTAAACCTGCCGCGAGGACACAGTTGAGTTCAGAGGTATAATAAGAACGGTTGAGTTTCGGAATATTTGGCCACTGTCTATAGATGCGCAATCATCGGAAATCGACATCAGAGCGCGCGCGATGTAGCCTAATGTAAAGTCAGGTTTAATTCACTATTGTGTGCGAAAGGCGGATCATATTGTATTTAACTGTAAGTCGCTCTGGATAAGAGCGTCTGCTAAATGAAAATGAAAATGTACCATTTATTTTGTTTTTGTGTAGGCTATTACCAATAAAGTATCGAGGTTTATCTGAGCAACTTCATTCTACATTTCTGTGCAAATAGCCTGCCCTATAGCTAAGGAGATCAATTCTCATTGCCAACGAAGCAACCTCACTTTTAATGTAGGCTATTGGTTATGTAAGCTATACAAATAAAATTGACATAATGTCTATATCACCCTGAACCAGTGAAAGGAAATATGTTAGTCACAAGGTAAGACCAGGTAAGACTGACTGTGGGAATTGTGTGCCATATTACAATTTGTTTGTTGTTTAGTATCGTTGTTGCCATAGAGCAGGGTTTCCCAAAAATGGTCCTGGGTCCACGTTTTGGTTTTTGCCTTAACACTTTAACACTACACAGCTGATTCAAATAACCAATTCATCATCAAAAGTGTTGATTATTTGAATCAGCTGTGTAGTGTTAAGGCAGTGTTTCCCAAACTCTGTCCTCGGGACCCCAAGGGATGCCCATTTTGGTTTTTACCCTAGCACTATACAGCTGATTCAAATAATCAAAGCTTGATGATTAGTTGATTATTTGAATCAGCTGTGTAGTGCTAGGGCAAAAACCAAAACTTGCACTCCTTGGGGTCCCCAGGACCGAGTTTGGGAAACCCTGCCGTAGAGGACTATCAGCACAATAGAAAGAAACCACCTAATGCGGTTTACAATGGGTCATTCACTTTCACATATGAATTTACTCCTGACATGTTTAGGCAGCTCCTCCACCCAACGTTTCTGTTCTCCCTCCCTCCCTCAATCCTTAGTTACAGATCAGATGCCTGCCCTGAGGGCCATATTGACCACTACTTTCCCCCCTCAAGTGTTTTTAATGCTTATGGGCTTGTATGGGTCTCTCTCTGCCACTATGGTATTATTTCGGGGACCCACCCCATCACCATGTAAAGCTTACTAGAGTGCTCTACTGCTGAAATCAGGAGTACTGTTGTTATTTACATTACATTTACATCATTTAGCAGGCGCTCTTATCCAGAGCGACTTACAAATTGGTGCATTCACCTTATGATAGCCAGTGGGACAACAACTTTACTATTTTTTTATTATTATTATATATACATATATATGTTTTTTTTTTTTTGTGGGGGTGGGGTAGGGGGGGTAGAAGGATTACTTTTATACTATCCCAGGTATTCCTTAAAGAGGTAGGGTTTCAAGTGTCTCCGGAAGGTGGTCAGTGACTCCGCTGTCCTGGCGTCGTGAGGGAGCTTGTTCCACCACCATTGGGGTGCCAGAGCAGTGAACAGTTTTGACTGGGCTGAGTGGGAACTGTGCTTCCGCAGAGGTAGGGGGACCAGCAGGCCAGAGGTGTAAGAACGCAATGTCCTCGTTTGGGTGTAGGGACTGATCAGAGCCTGAAGGTAAGGAGGTGCTGTTCCCCTCACAGCTCCGTAGGCAAGCACCATGGTCTTGTAGCAGATGCGAGCTTCAACTGGAAGCCAGTCGAGTGTGCGGAGGAGCGGGGTGATGTGAGAGTACTTGGGAAGGTTGAACACCAGACGGGCTGCAGCGTTCTGGATAAGTTGTAGGGGTTTAATGGCACAGGCAGGGAGCCCAGCCAACAGCGAGTTGCAGTAATCCAGACGGGAGATGCCTGGATTAGGACCTGTGCCGCTTCCTGTGTAAGGTAGGGTCGTGCTCTGCGAATGTTGTAGAGCATGAACCTACAGGATCGGGTCACCGCTTTGATGTTAGCGGAGAACGACAAGGTGTTGTCCAGGGTCACGCCAAGGTTCTTTGCACTCTGGGAGGAGGACACAACAGAGTTGTCAACCGTAATGGCGAGATCATGGAGCGGGCAGTCCTTCCCCGGGAGGAAGAGCAGCTCCGTCTTGCCGAGGTTCAGCTTGAGGTGGTGATCCGACATCCACACTGATATGTCTGCCAGACATGCAGAGATGCGATTCGCCACCTGGTTATCAGAAGGGGGAAAGTTATGACCATGTTATGACTATTTGGGTGCCCATGCAAGGACTAGTGCCCCCTGCAATGGGAGGCTGGGTAAGTGAGGTTCTGTGTTAGCCATGGGATGAGTGGGAGATTACGAGAGGGCAACCAAATCATACATTAAAGACTGTTCTGTTAAGGAATCTCCCAGGTGACTAGAATAGAATATAAAGACATGCTTTAAAGAGCAGCTGAGCATTTTGAGGGCACTCCAAACTGACACTCCCAAGTCCACAATACTTGCACCGACCATCATCCTGCCACTTGCAACGAATTGTCATTCAAGATAAATTCACATAATTATAGGATCTTCTCACTCTGTCAACAGAGTGGCGTACACCTTCTAAAGTAGCGGTGGCACCTGCCAAGTTCTACCCCTTTGGCCTAGTGGAAGGAACAATCACACTCCATCATGGGAGGCAGATTCCAGGATGAAAGCTCAACAGCTCTCCCAGAAAATGGCTCATTACTGTAATTAGTGTAATATAGGGATGAGCACATATACTCTGTGTACTCGGTTAAAGAGCATATTTGGTCCCTCTTATTAGCCACTTCCTCTCTTCTGCTCTCTATGCTAATCTGTTTCCATGTGGACGGAGGAGATCTGGAGTAACATCTTCTAAATATGTGTATGAGACCAATAAAATTAGATTTATTTTGGATTTGATATGAGACAGCAATGCTCAGGAAACTAAATACCCACTGGGCAAAAACTGGTTTAATCAACGTTGTTTCCATGTCATTTCAACCCCAAAAAATGTATGTGATGACGAATCAATGTGGAAAACTGATTGGATTTGCATAAAATCATCAACGTAAGGGATTTTTTTTTTTTTTTCACCCAACTTTTAACCTAAATCCAAAGACAGGGTGACATTTTTGGTTGATTTCACATTGAATTCATATTAGTTGACAACTCAACCAAATGTAAATCAAAACTAGACGTTGAACTGACGTGCCCAGTGGGGAGAGCTTGGCACTAAATAGTTGCGTTCTTCACTTACATTCTAAATAAATGTTTTACATACTTTGGTCTTTTAAAGCCCTTTAATGGAGTTCCATCACCAACAGTGATGTAGGTTGTGGGAATGTGGTTGGCCAATTTCCCTTTTCCAGAAGCTTCTCATAGCTAACTGTAGAACCCTAATAACGGGACACACTCACTTGACTGTGGTGAATGGAGAGTAAATTGTAGTTTTCAGTGATTTAAATAGTGGTCCAGTTACCGAAGGGAGCCAAGAAACTGCAGTGTGTAATTTTCCTGACTCTAGCCCTGCCTAGCATAGCGAAGAGCTAGTGAGCTACACACTCGGCAGTGAAAGGACTAAGGATGACTCATTCACACCCATGAGCTCATAATGCCACACTAAAACCTAGGTGTTAGCGGAGAGATCAGCTGTAGCTATGTGGGTGTGATCTATGATCCATGAGATCATACCATTCCAAACGGCCATCCTCCTCAACTCCTCCCAACACACCTCTGGAGATCAGCTATAGGGACTTTCTCAGCCTCATGCTGTGTTCAGTCGGTATAAACACAACACAGAATTCACAGGACTGACAGGGGTTAATTGGTGCTTTTCAGGCCCCAAGTTTCAATAGTTTTTCTGCATTTCGTGGACTTTGTGTCGACAACAATGTCGACCTTGCTTAGAGTAGCAGCTGAATGTCTGGCTTTGGTTGAAGCAAGCCTTGTGAATTCTAGAGGAAAAGTGTGCTTCGTGAGTTAGCTTGTGGCTAATGTGGTCACACTGAAACAATAGTCTTTTAGGTCTGTTTTACTGTGGGCAGACGAAATTGAAAAGAGGTTGGGGAGTTCATTTGGCCACTGAATGGGCTGCAGTCCTTAAGGGAAGGTAGCCAAACCACCAATACCAGGTCCAAATCCTTTATATTCTGTGGAGAGATTACAAGCGGCAATTCCAAGATGGCGGATAAGCAGAAGCAAGTTAGGTTCTGGGTTGCTAGAATCAGGAGGGCAGGCACCTAATTTGTGTCACGACTTCCGCAGAGGCTGCCTTCCCTCCTTGTTCGGGCAGGTTTCAGCATTCTTCGTCACCGGCCTACTAGCTGGCGCCGATCCATTTATCATCACTCCACTTGTCTTGTCTAATTAATCACACACACCTGGTTCTTATCCCCAATTAGTCATTGTATAAGTGTTCCCTCTGCTTCCTTGTCTGTGTGGGTGATTGTTTGTAGTGAGCTGTGTGTAGCTCGGTTGAGCTACCCTTACCTTGTTGTTGTCAGGGTAGATGTTTCCCCTGTGCCTGAGTTTTGTTGTCGCATGCTTGCGCAACTGTTTATCGACAGAATAAACTATTTGGATGCGTATTACTCTCCTGCGCCTGACTCCTTCTATCACACGCATCACAGAATTACCCACCCGCTATGGAGTCAGCGGGAGAAGAGCGCATGCCTGGAGTCATGGCACGGGTCCAGGAGTACTCCACGATGCTGGCCAGCTTGGGGGAAGCGATGGATCGGGTTCTTCAGGTAGTCCAACGCCTGGAGAGGAGCAGACCCGATCTGTCGAGACCAGCTGGCCAACCGGATCCAGCCACCTACACCCCAGCACCGGGAGGGATCCAGATATCCCGACCACGGGCGTTTGAGGGGACAGCGGTGTTGTGCCAGGGATTCCTCCTCCAATTGGAGCTTTACTTCGCCAGCATCAGGCCGGCACCATCGGAGTGGAAGAAGGTGTCCGTCCTCGTTTCCTGCCTCTGTGGGAAAGCCCTGGAGTGGACCAACGCGGTGTGGAACGAAGGAGGAGCTGCGTTGGAGGACTACAGGGAGTTCGCTCGCCTCTTTTGGGCGGTATTTGACCACCCGCCCGAGAGGCGGGTGGTCCACCTGAGGCAGGGGACGAGGACCGCGCAGGACTTCACGTTGGAGTTCCGGACGCTAGCAGCGGGGTCCGGGTGGAACGAGCGGGCCCTGATCGACCATTTCCGGTGCCATCTGCGGGAGGACGTCCTACGGGAGCTAGCCTGCCGGGACACCATGTTGTCCTTCGATAAACTGTTGGACAACCTGCTGGCAGCCAGAGGACGTCCTGGTAGGGAAGACTCGGACCTCGAGCCGATGGAGCTGGGTGGAGCCTCTGGTCGAGAGAGCGGAGGAGGACAGCGACAGTGCCACTGGTGGCACAAAGAGACAATCCACCACACATCGTAGTCAACGTTTTTTTGGGCCTGGAGGCGGCAGGCAGGGTACTCACACATCACCCCAGGTATCTAACACCCACACTTGTTCAGAGCCCTCTGTTGTGCACTGTACCCTACCTATCCACTTTCCCGATCACATGGTAGTTCCCCAGTGTAAGGCGCTAGTCGATTCAGGCGCAGCTGGGAACTTTATGGATAAGGCATTCGCACGCCGTCAAGGCATTTCATTGGTTCCCCTCTCCATTCCACGTCCCCTCAGAGCACTCGCTAGTCGACCATTAGGGTCCGGATTTGTTACGGAAGTCACTATACCAGTCACCATGATCATTCAGGAGAATCATTTTGAGCAAGTGATATTTTTCGATTATTGAATCTCCTGCTTTCCCTGTGTCCAGATAGTACCTCCACCGTGCGCATTCCCCCCGAATACTGTGATCTGGCGCAAGCGTTCTCTAAAACGCAGGCGACTAAGTTACCACCTCACTGGGCGGGGGATTGCGCAATAAACCTCAGGGTAAACGCTGTACCTCCTAGGAGTCATATATACCCCCTGTCACAGGCAGAAACGGTGGCTATGGAGAAATATGTCACCGAGTCCCTGCGTCAAGGGTATATACGTCCCTCCACTTCATCCGCCTCCTCAAGTTTCTTCTTTGTGAAGAAGAAGGATGGAGGTCTGCGCCCGTGCATTGATTATCGACCACTGAACAGGGAGACAATCAGATATAGTTATCCTCTCCCCCTCATTCCTTCAGTGGTTGAATCGATGCATGGGGCGCGCTTCTTCACCAAATTGGATCTCAGGAGTGCGTACAACCTGGTGCGTATCCGAGAGGGAGATGAGTGGAAGACAGCATTCAGCACAACCACGGGGCATTATGAATACCTGGTGATGCCCTATGGTTTGATGAATGCTCCCTCAGTTTTCCAGTCCTTTGTGAACGAGGTGTTTCGGGACATGCTTGGTCGCGGTGTAGTGGTCTACATCGATGACATCCTGGTGTATTCCGCTACTCGCACTGAGCATGTGTCCCTGGTTCGCAAGGTGCTGGCCCGACTGTTGGAGAATGACCTTTATGCTAAGGCAGAGAAGTGTATGTTTTTCCAGCAGTCCATCTCCTTCCTTGGATACCGCATTTCCACCTCGGGAGGAGATGGAGGTAGATCGCATTTCAGCCGTGCTTAATTGGCCAACTCCAACCACTGTTAAGGAGGTGCAGCAATTCCTTGGCTTTGCCAACTACTATCGAAGGTTTATCCGGGGCTTTGGCAAGGTCGCAGCTCCCATCACATCCCTGTTGAAGGGTGGGCCGTCCCAGCTCCGCTGGTCTGCTGAGGCGGATCTGGCTCTCAGGATACTGCGGGGTCTGTTCACCTCAGCTCCGGTACTAGCCCACCCCGATCCATCACTACCGTTTGTAGTGGCGGTGGATGCGTCCGAGGTAGGGATGGGTGCTGTCCTATCCCAACGCTCGGGCACGCCACCCAAGCTCCGCCCCTGTGCCTTCTTCTCGAAGAAGCTCAGCCCGGCGGAGCAGAACTACGACGTTGGTGATCGGGAGCTGTTGGCTGTTGTCCGAGCTTTGACCGTGTGGAGGCATTGGCTCAAAGGGGCGAAACACCCTTTCCTCATCTGGACAGACCACCGTAACCTGGAGTACATCCGGGCAGCGAGGAGGCTGAATCCTCGCCAGGCCAGGTGGGCCCTATTCTTCACCCGGTTTGATTTTACATTGTCATACATTCCGGGTACGAAGAACGTGAAGGTAGACTCACTGTCCCGGCTGTATGACACAGAGGAGAGGCCCAGAGACAACACCCCGGCCTCCCGCATTGTGGCGCTGGTAGTATGGGCGATGGATGCGGATATAGAGCAGGCATTACGCACAGATCCATCTCCACCGCAGTGTCCAGCTGGGCTGCAGTACGTGCCTGCTCTTATCCGTGATCGTCTGAGCTTCTGGGCACACACGTCACCCTCCTCTGGTCACCCAGGTATCAGTCGTACAGTGCGCTGCCTGAGCGGAAAGTACTGGTGGCCTACCTTGGCTAAGGACGTGAGGGTGTGTGTCTCCTCCTGCTCGGTGTGTGCCCAGAGTAAGGCACCTAGGCACCTCCCAGCGGGTAAGCTACAACCATTACCAGTTCCACAACAACCATGGTCTCACCTTAGCATTGCTTTACTGACTGATCTTCCCCTCTCCCAAGCTAACACCACCATCCTGGTCGTTGTGGACCGCTTCTCAAAGTCCTTCCACCTCCTTCCTCTGCCCGGTCTCCCCACGGCCCTGCAGACTGCGGAGGCCCTGTTTACTCACGTCTTCCGGCACTACGGGGTACCAGAGGGTATAGTGTGTGACCAAGGTCCCCAGTTCACGTCCAAGGTCTGGAGGGCGTTCATGGAATTTCTGGGGGTCTCGGTCAGCCTGACCTCTGGGTTCCACCCCGAGAGTAATGGGCAGGTGGAACGGGTAAATCAGGACGTGGGTAGGTTCCTGCGGTCCTACTGCCAGGACTGGCTGGGGGAGTGGTCTGTGTTCTTGCCATGGGCAGAATATGCCCAGAACTCTCTCCACCACTCCTCCACTAACCTAACGCCTTTCCAGTGTGTTCTAGGGTCCTGCGGTGGATGACTGGTTTCGGCGCGCGGAGGAGACGTGGGATGCTGCCCACGTTCACCTCCAATGCACCGTGCATCGTCAGAAGGCCAACGCTGACAACCACCGCAGTGAGGCCCCCGTCTTTGTCCCGGGGGATCGGTTCTGGCTCTCGACCTGGAATCTGCCCCTCCGCCTGCCCTGCTGGAAGCTGCACCCCCTGATTACCGTATTAACCCCTGTTTATCTCCTCAGGCCGGTGGTAGCTGGTCCGCTCCAGGAGTCTGAGGTGCGGGATGTCCCTCCACCTCCTCTGGACATCGAGGGGGCCCCGGCGTACTCGTTCCGTTCCATCCTGGATTCGAGGCGTCGAGTGGGGGGCCTTCAGTACCTCGTGGAGTGGGAGGGGTACGGTCCGGAGGAAAGGTGCTGGGTCCCAGTGAGTGATATCCTCGATTCCTCCATGTTACGGGATTTCCACTGTCGCCATCCGGGGGTACTGTCACGACTTCCGCCGAGGCTGCCTCCCCTCCTTGTTCGGGCAGGTTTCGGCGTTCGTCGTCACCGGCTTACTAGCTGCTGCCGATCCATTTATCATCACTCCACTTGTCTTGTCTAATTAATCAGACACACCTGATTCTTATCCCCAATTAGTCATTGTATAAGTGTTCCCTCTGCTTCCTTGTCTGTGTGGGTGATTGTTTGTAGTGAGCTGTGTGTAGCTCGGTTGAGCTACCCTTACCTTGTTGTTGCCAGGGTAGATATTTCCCCTGTGCCTGAGTTGGGTTGTCACATGCTTGCACAACTGTTTATCGACAGAATAAACTCTTTGGATGCGTATTACTCTCCTGTGCCTGACTCCTTCTATCACACGCATCACAATTTGTCTGTCCATTGTCCCTAATTGGCCAATCCCATTCCTATCTATGGTACATTTCCCATAAATTAGCATAGCGAACCAATACCATTTGTTATGTTCATTTTTGTTTTCTTTTATGTAGTAATTGGCGAGAGACCTACTACTAAGCACTTTTCTTGGAAAATGCTTAGCGAAATGTACAGTGG